CCCCCCCCCAAGGAAATTTGGAAACCCCACCAGATAGGTGTCTGGATCCGCCACTGCGACCTGATATCTCGTTGCTACAGGTAATAAACTATATAATTATATCCTGACCTGAAGCACTGGATCAGACTATGTTTGATGTTCACGTGTTACACAGTTGGTGATTATTATCAAGATACTTGGTTTAAAACGAACAGTATTCTGCATGAGTGTAGATACATTTAACTTCATACACCGCGTGATCAATATAGACACAGTATGTGTAACCGACTAGGGTGTAGAATACACAGGATCCGCACAACATTGCTATCAGTAATTCCATGTAACCAACGACATACGTGTACAGACATACACAGGCGCGTCGTTTACACAAGCGTCATGACGATCAAATTAACTAGGTCAATGGAGGGGTTTCATTGAGCACAAGACATCTACACAAATTGTTTCGTCGTCGAACAATACGCAAAACTTAACGACATCTTAAACATTTTAAAATCTGTGGCAGGCTTCAAAATTAACATTTCTTCAAACAACAGGTGTATTTTATGAGACATTTATTTGATTTAAACCCCTCAATTAGATATGCTTCGAAACTATTTCTCTAACCGACAGTTTATTTGCTCAAGCTTACCGTACTCGGGTATCTTAATCTCGTTAGCCAAGACTTTGATGCTATTAAAAATGGTCTCTAATCAAAGCTATTATGCAGGTGAGAAACAGCATTACTCACAATCGGGTGCGTAGACTCGTGTCTGGTAAAGACTAATGTAATATCTCACTGCTTATGAGATAAGACAGAGAAATAGCAATAGGTGTAATACGCAGTCGGAGTTGTATCAAAATAGGGGGAGATGCATAGGAACGATTCAAGCTTAAAATCAGTGCAAGCATTGCTGCTATGGCCAAATGTTTAGATGATTGGCCGCATGTCTGCTGTAATAATGACTAAAACATATCAACCTAACTATTATTCATGATATCTCTTACAGTGAGATATTTCTATATGTTTGAATGTATATACATATGTTTATAATCATGACCTATCTATATATGTCTGTCTGTCCTTGTGAATTAAAGACGCTGTCAATATACACCCTTGCGCAATAAAATGGTCTCCTGACATTACCATAACTGTTTCAGGATTATCGACATATAATTTGAAATTTATATTAACAGATCTGCGTTAACGAATTAATACGCTTATAAGGCGTATACCAACTTGTCCAATGTGAGGCACAGGGTAAGCGGGAGAGGTTCCAAAAGCAGGCCTCCGCATAAATGGCCTTCTTCCCCAAGATACAGATTTACACCACAGCAGGTTTGTGCATACATGTAGAAATATATTTCAGTTATATATATAAACAAGATTATAAAATAAATTAGCAAGCATACATAGATTGTTACAGTGTACCTTTTAATGCGTTCCCGGAACCCTTTCTGATCAACCCTGCTTTTCCTATTCAGCTGAAATGAATGCTGTCCTTAGGATACGGGTCTTAACGCTGTCCCAGATTTTCTCCCGCTCATTCGTGTTGGAGGTAAACATACTAAACCGGTTGTTGAATAACCTTGTGTTGTATTTGGCGTGCGTTTCACGTTACCATCGATTACACTGAGGGTATGTTTATACACACCCGTTTGTTAGTGTCAATGCACAAAAGATCGCAATTTTGAGATTAATGCAATAAAAAACACAGTAATGTCATATAAAACATAGAACTCAAAACACTTTGTATTTTAAGTCAGTAATATCACAGCTATCGGAACGACTTAACGAACCCCTAAAATACAGAGGTAGGCCCTGAAAACAGGTTGTTCAAAGTCTGATATGCTTAACGAACTTTGACGCAAGTATTTCGTTTGTTCAAACTTAATAATAAAAATTAATAACACTTGCATGAATTTGAAACAATCTGAGGAAATGAAATGAAAAAACGTAAATTTGAATATTTTACCACAATTCACGTTTTTCAACGATTATACTTACATCTGTACTAATCGTTCGGCATCTAATCAGACTTGTAAGACTATGTTCATATATTACGAAACAAGTTGTGAATTGTTGAAAATAATATAAGGTTTAAATTGAACATTTGTGTATGTAAAAAGACACATTTCTCATTTTCTTATAAGTAATTCATATACTTGTATGAACACTTGTGCAATGTTTATGTAATACTTCTGTTCCTACTGAAGTTGCAAGATGTCTGCTAACCTTCACATTTACTTCATTATATATTCCTCTGAGTCGTAAACAAAACGAACATCAGAGGGACAAATATAGGATATGCGTGATAATGTGTATGCAAAGGTTATGCATCATGTAACACATACACTTTTCTCCGTATACTGCAGAAAATAACCCTTTATACGAAACACATTTTTGGCCTTTTTATGCGCAGCATGGAAGAGAGTAAGGAACAACCGTGTCTTAATAGCGACATGGATTGGTTTAGGTTAATTTTGTTTAACGTCCTATAAACAGTTAAGGTCACTTAAGGAACTTTGTCACACAACTGCTTGTAAAACCTCCCTGCAGTAACGGGCTTGTTTTTCCTCGTCTCTTTTTTGAGGAACATTGCAGAAATCAAGAATATATCTACTGTATCCCACTGCATTTGTATCGTAAAAGGCGACTAATGTGAGTCCAATGCAGAATCAGAGGGAGGAGGGTCTTCTTCGAAGAAATGGAAGAGATCAAAACTGATCTGTGCCCCCATTGCTTTTTTTCTTTGCTTTCTTCTTTCTATTTCAGGAAACTGTCCTGTCAACTTGGGCTTCCTCATCGTGTTTTGAAATCTTTCTTGTTCATTCGGACGGCTAGTTAATACTTGCATTTTTTTTTTACTAACGATGGTTGGTTCTCATATGTATAATTAATATATGAACTTTACGAAGGAAAGAACTATAAACGTGATTACCAGCCACCACAAGATGAGCAATACAGTGTATCATAGCACTCTCACTACGTCAGAAACATAAATTTACACATGATTCATATTTTTGAGATGACAATGCATCATTCATGACGTTGCAATGCATGTACACATCAGGTTTGACGTCAGAAAGTGTTGTGATGTCATATCTTTCGCTGTCAACTATATTTACATAATAAAAACGATTTAAATCTTCTTATCCTACATTTTTTAAAGCCAAATAGAGTTTTTGTCACTTTTGCTTTTTGTGTGAATAACATTATTTTAGAGTTTTCAAACATGTACATCTTCCATACAACATCTTATAACACGATTTATTTTGATTTTACCCAATATGCAGACAAGCGATACTTAAATTTCATGATTAAACTTCCATATCAGCATGTACCGTATGTCCGTACATTGTTGATACATGTTTCCATAGTTCTGTGTGTTGTCTACTGGAGTAGAACCTACCTTTCAGTTATTTTACACCCGATGCATTGGTACATTTTACCTGTGAACCAGCTAGAAGTTTATCTATTAAATCTTTCGTCTTGCTTTGTATATATTACGTCGGTGGTGATAGCTGGCAAACACTGTTTCAAGAAGTGAAACGTCCCCATTGAATCTATTTTTAAATAACCTTATTTCATTGTATAATGATAATATAGCAAAGTGTATACACATACATGTGCGGGTCATTTACTTTTCGATAAGACGGCGATGTTCAAATACATGTACGTTATATTTCATTCAACCATTACATATATTTTAAAAAGTAAACTCATTTTGACAAGGGTCATGCATGATTTATTTCATAATGCATTTCTTCAACATTTGTTACACATACCCTTGTTTGTGTCATTGAGGATGCCATTCAATGCACAAGTGATCGCAATTTTGAGATAAATACAATTTAAATTGAGTAACGTCATGAATAAAGGAACTTAAATTCTGTATTTTAAGTCAGTAATATAAACTGTGGTGATCACAGCTATCAGAACGACATGACGAACTCCTCAAAAACAGAGGTAGGAACTGAAAAAAGGGTTGTTACAAGTCTGATAACTTAGCGAACTTTGAGGCAAAATCGTTTGTTGCAATTTAAATATAAATAGCACGTGCATGAATTTAAAATGACCTGAATGAATAATATGAATGTTGGGTTCTTAACCTGCTCACGCATGGATTTTATTCAATCTTTGCAATTTTGATGTTCTGTTGATTTCACTTCAGAAGCCGATATTATTATGTTAAAGTTTGTAAAGAAAAGGCATAAAGGGCCTGCATTATTGTTTTCCCTGAAAACTAGGGAGTACCTGATGTCATAAATACACGTGTTAAGCGTTTTACTTACCTCTAATGCATTCGGAACTCCTCTAATTATCTGCCTTTTCTCGCATTGCCTGCCGCTAGGAGCGCTGTCCAAACCACTTTCGTAAAGAAAAACTGAATGGCTGCTGTGAGCGTAGCCTAACTTGAGTTTGGATATGAATTTCCGACCGATGCGTGCATAACAGAACATAGGCTTGTAAGTGAATTGACGACACATAGGCTTGTAGCGGTAATATTTTGTGTGTTTGAGAGAGCACGGGGATTCCCTCGAGGGGGTAGGCGGTTACCTAGATTTTCGATTTCCGTCTATGGATTATTTTATGAAAGTAATTGTTAAATTTTTCAGCAACACCTTATCTATAACCAAGCAAAATACGGAATATCAGGTCGTCGTGAATGGATGTTTTTGTTTTGTTTAGTATTGTTTACCGTCCTATCAAAAGCTAAAGTAATTTAAGGACGACCTCCCCTGTGTGCAAGATGCATGCGTGTAGAGTATGCGTGTGTGTTTTAAGAGGCTGCGATATGTTCGTGTTTGTCTCCTTGTGATAGCGCGGAACTGATGCCAACTTTATAGTGCTACCTCACTGAAATATACTGCCGAAGACACCGAGCAGGACACCCCGCCCAGTCACATTATACTGACAACGGGCTAACCAGTCGTCCCACTCCTAAATTGCTGAGCGTTAAGCAGGAGTAGAAACTACCATTTTTACAGACTCTGGTATGTCTCGGCCAGGGAACAGAACCTGAAGCCTTCCTCACAGGGGCGAACGCTCAACTAAAGGTCAAAAGTGAGGCATTGTCAAGGGAAACATTAGGAAGAGAGTTATTTAGAAAGAAGAAATATGATAAGATCCCAAAGGGCCTGTTTCCAGTAATGTTAATTCTCCATAGGAGCCTGCCCCCGTATAATTTCTTATCTAGCTCACCTACTGTTTTTTTCTTTTCCGAAGAATAATTTTACTCCTTTCCGACACGCAGATTTCATAATTTCAGTGAAAATGTATTTTTATAAAGTTGTCAATTTCAGCATCAAAGACATAAGTTCGTAAATAGAAGAAGGTTATCTCGAAATTGTAATTCGCAACATAGTATAAATTTCTTTTGATAACTATTTCCAAAACATCGTGTTAATTCATAAAACATAAAAAAAAAATTCTTTATACTTTATAGATTTGTGACCACAACGGCATGGGCAATGCACCACCAACAGGAAATTTGAATCAGAGAAGGGGCCGTTTTGGAAACCGACCCTTTAGTCGCCTCTTCCGATCACACAATGGGGGCAGCAGGTACAATTCTCACGCCCTACCTGCTGGGACCGCCGTGAATGGAGAAAAGTCGTAATGGAACCATGTGATAAGTGGCATACCACAAGGATTGGGTTGAGGACCACTTTCATTTGTACTTGTTATAAATGACATGCCTGATGTAACACGTCCCAGAACGAATACATTCTTCTTTGTGGATGATACGAGAGCATTTAGTGCATCAATGATAAAGAAGATTAAAAGATTTTACAATAGAAAATATGTTCTCTCTAAAGTGGTCGGAGGCTTGGCCTCTTTGTTTGAATCCAATCAAATACAAAGTAATGCGCTTGTGACACTCCAATGTAGTACACACTCAAGGAAAATGCAGAAGCTTTATAATTTGTGAACTTCGTAAAAGATATCGGTGTCATTATAGACAATAAGTTATCATTTTATAAACACAAATCTGAAAAAGTAAATAAAGCTAATTCCATATTGGGAGTTTTACGAAGAACACTGGCATACATGAACTTGGAGAGTTTTAGGTTGCTATACATTATTTAGTTAGACCACATATTGAATACGCGAAATCAGGTTTAGTGACCTCATCTCGAAAAACTAATTATAAAATGTCGAGCAACAAAGCAGGTTACTGGCCTTCATGTAAAAGACTTATCCTATAAGGAGCGATTAGAAAAACAAAAAATATACAGAGGATCCCCTGGCGACATGATATAAATTTACAAACAAATGTCAGGGAAATATTATTATGAAGTATCCGACATACTTAATGTCAGGGACAGTTCATGTACACGTGGACACAACTTTAAAATTTACAAATCGCATTCAAGATTGAATATTCGAACAGTTTCGCTTACACAGGCAACTGTTGATTTGTGGAACAATCTGCCATCTAATGTTGTTAATTCAAGCATTGTTACACAATTTGAACATAAATTAGACGAACACTTGCAAAACCAAGCGTAGAAAAAGACTAAAATAAATAAGAGGCCATTGGGCCTGAATGGTAACCTCAGTTCTAATATTTTGTTTTTTAAAAAAGACGCACAAAAATAATAGATTATATAAATAAAACCCACCAGAACTGCCTTATCCCATGTCTGGGTTAAAAGAAATTTAAGTACCTCCGACTCCTCATTCTGGGCCCCACCCTTCAGCCCCTGGGGGTTGGTTACGGTCAGATGTT